GCTATTTAATTATCACCGGCTGACTTCAAGCTTCAGGTAAACAACATATGTTCCGTGTATAAAGCGATTCTGTAAACTGGAGCTGCAGGGGTAGAGAAAAGCAAAGGATTGTTGTAATTAAGATCCCTATGTTAGTTATTTCTGCAATGTGCACCTCTGTTTCAATTACCATGAGTTAAAAAGACATTGAGTGCTTGGTGTTTCATATTGCCTGCTGCATACCTTCTTCTGTTCTTCCTCAGATCTTGTAACTCCGTCGCATGTTAACCTGGTCTTACATTTCATTGTTTCTATTGTTGCTCCTCTAGCCGGTAGTAACTGCATTTTTAGTGTTCTGAACCATCCCTCGAGCAGTCAATGGTAGGTCTGTAGATGAGCATTTTAGATCCTAGTTCTTTTCCTTTTTATTGAGTTAGGGGAGACAAGGAATTTCTCTAGATGGGATCCTTATAGAGGTTACTGTCGATTCTCTTCGAACAAAGTGCTTGCTGAGAGATTTTTTTGTCTATATTTAATCAAGTTTAGCTGGCTGTTTGTCCACATTCTGCAGTATTGTGGCGGATTATGTTGTGTTAGTGTGGTTAAAAAGTTAAATTAGTTAGACCTACCTTCTTGTTGAGACAAGGAGATAGATCCTAGGTGTAATGGTTTGATGATATCTAACTAGAACAGTATAGTCGATCAATACATAATCCTTTTATTACTTTTATTATGATGCTGATTTTTTCCATTTCTGTTATATAGGATAAGTTGATCATGGCACTCTATATGAAACGACAAAGTCAGCAGGGCAACAAAGTCTTTGCTTCTTCTTCGAAACAATCTACCCTACCTAATGTTTCAAAGATGTTCAATGTTCGTCCAAACAGTGGACCTTCAGAAGTTGTACATAATGATCCAAATACGAAGAAGAAGAAGAAAAAAACTAGAGGACAAGGAAGAGTGAAGCTCGTCGCTGGCCCATATGGGGAAGACGAACAAGCTGGTGAAGATGCAGGTCATGAATCCCAGCAAGATCATCAGCAGCCTCTCCCTTGCTATTTCCATCACGTTCTCGATTCGGAGCCCCGAAACCGCCACCAGGCTGAATGTGAGGGTGAATGATAGAAACCCGCTATTTCTATTCTGGTATTATTATTATAGTTATTATTAAGGTAATTACCAGTAGGCCTAGTAGTCTAGTCGTTTAGTCGAATTAGGTTAATCGTTAGGGTTTTTCCAGTCTTTCGCTATATATATGTACTTTGGGTCTTTTGTTCGAGGAAGCAGAAATCAGTTAAAGAATTATCCTCCCAAACTCTAAGCTTCCCGTATCTCCTAATTTCTCTTCGTCCCAAATCCAAGGCTTCGGTCGATTCTTATTCTGTTCTTCCTCTCCTAATCCCAATCTCAAATCCCTAATTCTGTTCTTAATCCCTAAATCATCAATTCTCGATAGAACCCTAATCCCAGGTTCTATCAGTGAATATATTCACCCCGTAGTCGAACACTTTCCTCGTCTGCGTCTGCCGGAAGTATGTCGCCCCTCCAGCTGCAACACATAATCAGCACTGCCGTATTTAAATTCATAATTTTATTTATTTGTTTATTTATTTCATCGGATGCGACGTCATGTACACTCTGATTGATGATTATGCAGATTTTGATGATATGAGTTGCGAGATGATATTTGGGCAGGAACCCCCACCATTGACTGAAGATCCAGCTTAAGCAACCATGTTTCAAACTATGTATGATATCCCATCCCGTGTCTCATCACTTTGGTTACAATTGAGACAATTTGTTGACTTTGCGTTTTGTTGGATATGTTGCAGGCAAAATAAACAGAAGCCACAAAGACAACTGCACAAGTTGAAGGGATGCAGTGCAAAGAGTGGAGAATGACTCTTTTCTGCAACAAGAACCTAACCTTGCTTGTAACATACACCGACCTTACTCACCGTGTACAAGCCAGTTTCAGATACCCATATTTCTAAAGAAAGGTGCTTTCTCTAATTTATACATTACATCTTGCTGACTGTTAATCAGATCGAGGGCTTGCTCATTGTCAGCGGTAACAGATCATAGAAGTGAATCTTCATGATCACCATGTTGCTGACTTGTCATCTAGGCTGTAGCAGTAGCAATTTGGTCTCGTCGCTCATGTTCCGATACGAGGAATAGCTTCAGCCATAGCTGTTGATGGCGAAGAAAGAAACTGAAGAAAATATTATCCTCCCTTAATTATCTCTTGGCCAAAAAAAACCCAGTATCTCGGTCTGCCGCCCATGCCCAAGCGAATTGGCTAGGTTTTCCAACTGTTATTTCACTTGTTTGGGCTTCAGAGATGAGCGATTGGGCCGCTTGTACCAGCTTCTGGGCACCAATTCAGCAAGCCTGATGGCTGGCTACCACTGTCCAAGTACACCTCACGGGATTTACAAGTTCCAATTATTCAAGTTCACAAACCCATGGTTACTTACACATTGATTAACATTTAACAATGATAAGCTGACTTATTGGATTTAGGTGACGGATTTTCTACCTAAATTTCAAACATGACCGATTTACTTGTGAAAAATGGAAAAAATCAAATTTGTGAAATTCACATATTTGTAAATTTCAAATGAAGTATGAGATTTGAGATATCGGTCTAAATTCGTGATGGTTTAAAAATATTTTATGCTCATAAATTATATTGTAGTACGATGTTTTTCCTTTGTTGCCTTTTCTTTGCGAGATGAAGTTATGAACTTGATCGGATACCAACCGAATTGCTTGCATTTTTTGCAGTATAGCAAGAGAGAAACAATATTTGACGATTATTGAAGACTAACATCCCAAAAAACCCTCTATTCTTCTTCTTGCCGATATAAAACAAAAGAAGCTGTCAGGGTCATCACTTTCTAAATTTGTGAAATAATGATGGCCGTAGATGCGAAATTGTCATTGAAATTTCTCGCATTTTAAAGTTTTGTGGCAAATGATGGTATGAACTTGTTGTAAGAATTAAGAACTGTGATTAGCTACACATTATGAAAGTCTGGAGACTAGTGACTTTATGAACTTGCTATTAAATATCATTCTTTAAATACTAATATGGAAACAAAGCAAGGATTAAAAAATCATACCGTACCGGCAGTTCGACCAGAAAAATCTCCTTATAAAGTAACTGATATGTGTTATTTGACAATATGAAATGACTGAACCACAATTAAACCTTAATTTTAACATAAAATATACCACCGCTGAATTTTCCGATTTTACTATTCTCCATGCTAAGCATACAAAAATTTTGACAAAAAAAATGCTAAGCATAAAATAACTTAGAAACCGGTATAACCAGATATGTAAAAACTAAAAATACCAGCCCCTGGATTTCTCAGAAAAAACAAGGTTAGCTCTCTGGCTAGCTTACTTGGATCGGAGTACTATTTTTTTTTTTTTTCTTCTTCTTCTTGTGCAAAGTTGGATTGGAGGAGAGTAATGGTGAAAACGGGCCCAATCAGTTAAGGGGAATGGGGTTGGGCGGGGGAGCAAGAAATGGGCCACCACCAGAAGAGGCCTCGACATACCTATACTATATGGAGGGGTGCAGGCCCACCATCTGAAGACAAAGCCCTCAGTCAATATGCCCCGCAATATGGACGTTGATGGGTCAGTGTGTGTGTGTCCAACTGAGATTTGTTGTTGTTATCCTCGTTGTTCATACATATATATTATTTAGCCGCCCAGCTGGGTGGGAGACGATTGGACTTGTTGAAACATGGTAAAAAAGCTGCCATTAGGGAAACCCCAAAGGAACACATTATTAATAATTGATACCCACAGCCACAGGCCAGGCCATAATAACAACAGTCGAGTAAACAGGAGATACCATGTGCTTCTGCTGCCTCCTCCACACTCTGGCTCAATGATCATCTGAAATTCCCATTCCATGCCCCCTGGCCCAGGGGGAAAAAAAAAGGAGAGAAGATGATGAGATTGAGATTAGCTTCGGCAGTAATGGAGTCGGAAATTCGAACGGAAAGAGCTGATTTGAATTGTCGTAATTAGGAAGAAGGATAAAAAAGAAGTTACAACCTTCAAGATTCAACCTAACTCCGCCACTGCGAACTGGCCCGCCTACCACAACCACAACAATCAAATAAACTGGGCCTCGCCTCGCCTGGCTGTTGTCTACATCGCACTCTAGCTTAGCTCCCAGCAAGCATTCAATAATTACAGTCCTGTGGGAGTTTAGGACTAGTGGGTTAAAGTAGATTACTTCAGTTCTGTTTCCTGAGCCCTGACCAGATATGTAACTGGCGGAAGAATTCCCAGAATACAGTAAAAATTATACATAATTCCCAGAATACATAAGTTTTATAAAATTTTCCCAAACTACCCAAGTTTCAATGAGTTCGAGTTTATGAAACTCGAACTACTAACAAGATCGACGATGACAAACTCGAACAAATTAGATCGATGACAATCGACTCGATCTATGTAGATCGATGACAATAAACTCGATCAAGTAGATCGAGTATACAAAACTCGATTTAACTAGATCGTCGCCGGGAACCTCGATGCAGTGCAACGATTTAAAAACACTCGATCTATATCTGCACTAGATCGAGTCCCTATGACTCGAACTAGGTAAATCGATTACAAAAGACTCGAACCACTGGCCCACCGACATGCTTCAGATAGGGTTGCAGGGATAAGATTCTTTGTTATAGTAGATCGAGTTTTAGGGACGCGAACTAGGGTAGTTCGATTGCACTAAACTCGAACTACTTGCTCAATAATTCTGTCCAGTCGCTTTCGGTCCGACATGTTCCAGAATAGGGTGCAGGGAGGGAAATTATTGGATGGCGTAGATCGAGTTTAATAAACTCGAACTAGTGTAGATCGAGTGTTTTAGACTCGAACCACTGCATCAGTTTACGAGGATAAAAAGCCCTCACTTAGCACATTCTGGCAGCTCTTTTACTTTCTATCTTCTTTCTTCCAAACATAAACTGCAGCAGCTGGAGCACCATAGCTCACCAAAGAAGAAAATTTTTGGAGGTAAGTTCTGCTTACGTTGTTTGAATGAGCGTATTAGAATTTTAGATTAATTTAGAATTGTTTGTACTGTATGTAATGAGCTGCTTCTATAAACTGCAGAAATGGGTAGAAAGTTTCGAAAATTCGACTTATTGATTCGGTGGAATGGTCGAATTACCCATTTTCATGATAGTATTGACTACGAAGATGGTGAATCAAGTACTGTCCCGATTAAGAGCATATTTACTTGGCAAGAACTCAGCCATATTTGTGCGGAACGATGTTGCATAGGAGGGAGAAGAGTATGCAAGATGACTTACCGTATGCCGGTTTACAAGGATTATGCACTTGTATATGAAGGATCAGTTTTGTCTGACGATGATGATGTTAATATGATGATGAGATTTATTGCAGAGAACAGATTTACAACTGCTGAGGTGTATGTCGAGACAGAAGTTGTTGGCCAATATGGTGGGGGTGGTTATACCGAACAAGGTGAAGGATCGGGAGGTTTTTCCGGTTCAGGAGATTTCAGAGTGCAGCATGATGCACCATGGCCAACATACGAGGATCGAGCTGCAACTGGTCCATTGGTGGAACATGACGGACAGGAGTGGCCAGTATGGGGTGGAGAATGGGATTACATAAGGGCACCCAGACAAGCATCTACAGCAGCATCTGGCATCAACAATGATCCATATGTGGATAAACCAAGTCCTCCGTACACTAGCGAGGCAAGCGACGTGGAAGACGAAGAGTTAGAATCAATGAGTAGTTCAGATGGTGAAGATCTGGAAGTTGACGAGGGGGAATTTGAGCCCCCCACACCTCACTACACGATGGTGCCACAACATCCTCTCTATGCTCACAACGACGATCCTGACCTCCCTCCTATACCAATCTGGACTCCTGACTCTGGATTCGTGGTTGGCCAAACATTTGCAGGAAAGCCACAGGTGGTCGATGCATTGAAAGAAACTGCTATGCGAAGAAGCTTTCAATATCGTGTCATCACTTCTGACACTAAACAAATTCATGTTCGTTGCGAGAACCATGGCGACGGATGCATGTGGCATGTTCGGGCGGCATATGTTAAAAGAAATGGGGCTTGGCTCATTCGTAAGACAGACAACAACCACACTTGTAGGTCGTCACTGATTTCTCTAGATCACCGACAATTGAGTGCAAGGAAGGTTGCACAAACAATCAAACATCTGATTGAGGCACAACCTGGGATCACCGTGAAGAGTGTCATCGCTGAAGTGAAGAATCGACATGGCTATACCATCAGTTACAAGAAAGCATGGCATGGGAAGCAAAAAGCTATGGCAGAGGTGTATGGTGATTGGGAAGAGTCATTTGCTAACATGCCTCGTTTGATTCTTGCAATGGAGGACAAGAATCCTGGGTCTGTTTTTGTGCCTAGTTACGAAGATTTCTATGGAGGTGCTAAACGCGTGTTTAAGAGACTATTTTGGGCATTCAAACCTTGCATTGATGGTTTCACCCATTGTCTGCCAATAATCCAAGTTGATGGCACCTTTCTGACCGGCAAATACAAGGGCACTCTACTCGTTGCCACTAGTGTTGGCAGTATGCAACTTTTCCCCCTTGCTTTTGCTATAGTCGAATCGGAGAACAACTTAAGTTGGGCATGGTTTTTTTCCCAACTATACACTCGTGTCACTCAACGGAAGGACATTGCCATACTTTCTGATCGACACCATGGAATTAGACATGCTTTCTACGACCTGCCCGAGGAGCTAGGGTGGAAGTGGCGATGGTGCATACGACATTTCAAAAGCAATTACGGGAAGCACTTTGGTAGAACTTATGGACAACGTGCAGTTTGGCACGCTGGTAAGAACAAATAAGATGTTGTGATTATATCAATTGGTTGAATGTGTATATTCCTTTACTAACCTTATTTTGCTTTATTGTAGCTATTGCTTTTCAGACTCGAAAGTTTGTAGACAAAATGAAGAGCATAAGGGAGGTCCACTCTGAAGGTGCAGATTGGCTAGAAACTCATCCTTATGAGAGGTGGACGTTACATCAAGACGAAGGGTATAGGTATGGAATAACAACAACGAACATGGGTGAGTGCCTCAATGGTTTGTATGTTGGTCTTCGTGCAATGCCTATCTCATCTATAGTCTTGCATACCTTCTTTCGTACGGTGACATGGTTCGTTGAACGCTACCAAGCAGCATATCAGATGTTGAATGCTGGAATCTACATCCCAACGAAGATTATGGATGATATGAAACCATGGTCAGAAAGGGCAAAATGGCATAAGGTGACTTTATTTAGTCGAAGAGATTCCCGCTTTTCAGTAGTAACAGGAAGTGGACCAGATAGTTCAAAGGGTGGTAATGCTCAAACAGTTATACTGGATGCAAAGAATGGAATTGGAGAATGTACTTGTGGGAAGTTTCAAGGGAGACACCTGCCTTGCTCTCATGCATATGCAGCTGCGAGAAGCGTTAATTTGGATCCTTTGATATTTGTTAGTCCATACTACAAGACTCCATACGTGGTCAGAGTTTGGGAAGGGTCGTTCTTTCCCTTGGCTCATGAAGCATATTGGCCCCAGTATGATGGACCTGTAGTGTGCCCTCCCGAGCTAAATAATGGGCTAAGACAAATAATTTCAACAAATAAAATAGAATTCATAATCATAAAAATAAATAATGGGCTAAGACAAATAATTTCAACAAATAAAATAGAATTCGTAATCATAAAAATAAATCATAGGCTAAGACTAAGACAAATAACTTCAACAAATAAATTAGAAATAAATAATCATAAGCTAGAATGTTACCTCGTTGAATTCTAGACGGTCAAGATGTTGGCGGTACCCGTCTAGAGAGGTGCCACTCGTGATAGCTCCAATCCATCTAGCACCATAAGCCCATTGTCGTAGTGGCTCATCGGGACCCCAACTGTTGGCAGGGCAGATCGGAGCGAAAGTAGGAAGGTGCTCCCAAACCCATAGTTGGAGGATGAACATGGGACCACCCGCTTGCTTTGTTTTCGGATCCGTACACTTGCACAACTCCGAATATATCATGGCCAAACAAGCAGATCCCCAACTTTTCCTCCCAATCTCGTCCCAATCTCCCAAAAGAACTCGAAGCCACATACAATGCATATTTCCACCAGACTTGTTCGGAAACAAAAATCCTCCAACCAAACAAATAAGGTAGATGCGAGCATACCTCTCTATCTGAGCATCCGTGGCATCCTCCGGTAATTCCCCAACGGTCCTCACTAGCCAAGGTATCAATAACATAGACTTGTGTAGAGGTGGTACACGACGACCTTCTTCTGCTTCCTCGGGGATGTTGATACCTAAACGCTCGCTTATAAATTGGCCCCAACCATTCAATGGTTTCTGTGAACTTTCAATTATTGCATCACCATCGATTGGAAGCTCTGTCAGCATGGCTACGTCCTTCAACGTAATCGTCATCTCTCCCTCTAGAAGGTGGAATGTGTGCGTTTCTTTTCTCCATCTTTCCACCATTGCCGTAAGAAGGTTGTTGTCCATCTCCATCCCCACAAACTTTCGCACCCTCAGCAATCGCGCTCTTTCAATGAAGGGCTCGATACGATCATCCCATTTAGGCAAGCGAGATAGCGACCGATGGGTGATTACGTCAAGTTGTTCCTGTAGAAAAAAAAAATATCAATTATTATACAAAAATAAATTAGAAGAATACTATCACATTTAAAAAAAGAAAAGTAAATGAGGAAGTGCTTACCGGATCTGCCGCCCAAACACTTTCAGACCGATGGTAAGGTTGCTCATCCAACAAATCGGTTTCTCGCGGTCCGCCTTGAATGTATAATCTAGGATCGTAAATACTCGGATCCATCTCGGCAATTTTGAGTGATAGAAGTACCAAACTAAAGAAAAAAAATCTGATGCGGAAGATCGGGCTTAGCCGCAACCACAGAGCATATTTTTTTCTTCAAGAGTGGTGGGAGGAATAGGAAGAAGAATGGAGTGGTGTGGGATTTGGTGGAATGGGAGGGGGAATATATAGGTGCAGGTGGTTGACGTGGATCGAGTACAGAGGACTCGAACCAGTGCCTCGATTTCCCTGCCATCGATCCGCGTCGATTGCAGATCGAGTGAACAAACATCGAACGACCCAGATCGAGTCTGGCAAACTCGATCTACGGTGGAGCGGTCCAGACGTCATCGATCCGCGTCAATTGGATCGATTCAATAGAGCTCGATCCACGTGCATCGCTTTTCCGCCACTCGATCCGCGTCGCCACTAAATCGCGGGCTTGGCCATCGAACGGTGTGGTTCGATTCTTCTTACCTCGATCTACGGTGGAGCGCTGCTTATGTCAGCGATCCATGTCAACTAGTTCGAGTGTAACGTACTCGATCCACTCAAATCGAGTTTATCTCACTCGATCCGCGTCGTCCTGTTCCAGCCAATCGTGGTTGTTTCACTCGATGCACATGGATCGATTCTTTTACAGTCGATCTATTAACTAGTTCGAGTTTGCCAAACTCGAACCGTTTCAAACTTTGGTATTTTGGGAAATATTTATAAAAGTGATGTATTGTGGGAATTACTTTTAATTTTCACTGTATTTAGGGAAATAACCCGTAACTGGCTGGCATCCATAACTACTCTGCCTGCCATATACAGTGGCTTTCATTTCTAACTTGTTCTACAATATTAATTCATAGGGTTACTCTTGTCAAAAAGGTGTCTTTGTATCATATGACTAGTTGCTGTGATCGGATATTACTCGTTTACATGATCTCGTTGATCAATTCAATCATTCTGATTCTCGTGATCTTATCTTTTTCTCTTTATTATTTTTTATTATATATTGGACAGGATGGTAATCATCCCTTGATTAATCTTTTGATGCTTTCGGATACTTGCGGTTTATCTCTTTGTCAAGTTTACCTAAAAAAAAGTTGAATTGCCAAACAATTTTGGTAGTGGTATGACACCTCGGCTACCTCTAAGGTCTCCCCATTATATGATGTCATAATTTCGAGTCATACGAATGACATTTCTGATCTTTAATCTGGGTTATTTGTCTAACCTTGTGTTGGTGTGTGTGATGTGTTGTTTGGATGGTGTGCAGATGAATGAGAAAGAAAGACAGAGATGGAAAGTTACACCTTGGATTCAAAACTTGAGATGAAGAAATTGAAAGAAAGAGAAGAAACCGGTAGGAAGTTATACTCGAGCAAACAACTGGAGTTCGTGGCTCAAATGAATGAATTGCAAATCCGGAGAAGGAAGGCTAAGGCAAAGACTTTTCTTGGGTTGTAACTGAATTGGGGGCCAAATTGATGCTCCTTTCTGCTATAATCATCATCATTCATCGGCAATGGACCAGCCAAGCCAAAGAATAGTCGTGACGTGAACAGAAACAAAACACTACCACATGGCATGCGATGTAAAGTGGGAAAGTGAAACCTTGAAAATTGAAGCGCAGCAGCGGCCAAAGCCAAAAATTTCCTGGACCCTGCACCTGCAGCTGATGCCATGATGACACCATCTGCCCCATTCCCCACCCAACACCCAACGTGACCAACACTTTCTGCCACCTTCCCAATAACTCACTCAGAACCCCCACACCCCCTCCCTGTTGACCATAACCTTTCCACAATTTTTTCCTGCAATCATTGCTCTCTCTCTACCACGCTATTACTATTGTTATTGTTACTAACTTATGCACACACACACAAAAAAAAAAACCCATGTTACCAAAAAGAGAGAGCTAATTGGCTTTGCTTTCTTTATCAGCAAACGCAACTTGTGCTTTCAATACAGCATTACATCTAAAACACACAACACACCAGCTAACATCAATTAATTAATTACTAACCAACTAGTTAAGTGGTAAATCATCATTAAATTAATCTGCGGGGTTTATCCACTCTTTCCCATTTCCTCCTCCTCTCTTTATGAGTCTACACATGGGAAGAGCGAGCCGTTAGATTTGCCTTGGGGCCCGACCCTCCTCCCCACAAGGAAAGCGCTATTTAATTTAATTAACTAACTAATTAATCCAGAAAGCAATAAACCTTAGTACGGTCCGCCGCCCGAGGCATCATTTTCTTTCAGAAAACCAACTTCCGGCGGGGGAGGGAGGCCAAGGCCGGTTGAGCACATTTGCCGGCAAAAGCAGCCACGTCCCGGATGGTCTCGCCGATCAAATCCTTGAAAATTAGCCTCTCGATGTCCAACACCGCTTCCGACATCTCAACAGGGGAATCCGCCCATCCGTTCACCGCATCCCCTGCCAGGTCCTTCCTCAGCACGCCGCAGATCACCTCGAACAAGTCCTCCGCCGACGACGGCGACGATTCCCTCGCCTGCATCCTCTGGAACTCCGACCATATTTGGTTCAGGGACGCTGCTTGCTGGCTCTTCGCTGATGAGCTGCTGGTGGAGGAAGCAACGGCCTTCCATGGAGGCAGTTGTCTCTTCTTCTCGAGGATTTCGTTGATGGTGTCGAAGATGAGCCTCCTCTGCAGTCTAGAACTCTTGGAGGTGTCTTTCCCTCGGAGGTACTGCTGTTTCTCCAGCAGCAGGAACACGTCGGAGTCTTCCGGTAGGTAACTGGAAGCGCGGAGGACGTCGGAGACGTACGTGAACTCGCAGTCTTCGGACTCACCAGCTGCTGCTGCTGCCGCCGGGCTCCATGTGTCTTCGTCTGATTCCGTTAGATATTGACCTGAGCAGGACATAAAACGACAATAAACGTAAGTTTTGACGGAAACGACACAGTATCGAGTAGTCCGGTAATAAACAGAGCCAATGGGTGGCTTGGTGACAGCAACACAAGCTTTGGAATTAAAAGCACAGTAAAGAAAAAAGCGTTCAACAAGCGTTAACTTGAATCCTAAAGACTAACTGAATACCGTGTTGGGGAACTGTAGAATGTAGATAACGATATATGATACGGTCATTGTTGTTGTGAGGGGAGGAAGGCTACGGTCAGCTGGATGGATAAAGCAAGCTGGGTCCGGGTATGGGCGGCTAAGATTCCCCCTAAGCTGAAGGTCTTTGTCTGGCAGATTCTTAATCGAATCTTGCCTACTACTGAGGGCCTCATTACCCGGGATGTTCCGGTGCTCCCTAGGTGTCCGGTTTGCTGGGATGAATCGGAAACGATGGAACATTTGTTTCTTGATTGCCCGGTGGCGCGAGCTTTATGGGAATTGTCTGGACTGGATTATGTAGGGGAGGGTTTACCCAGGCACACTTTTCCGCTATTCCTTAAAAAGGTGATGGGCTTGATTGACCAGCCCCAGTTGTTCATGGCGGTGGTGGCCATCTTGTGGAGGATTTGGCGTTCACGAAACTGGGTGGTTTTTGAGGGTAAACAGTTTGGTTTCCCGGCCCTTATGCGTCAGTTTGACCAGCAATACGAGGAGTGGGTTCGATTGCCGAGAGATGAGGTTTCCCGGTCGTTGGGGACGGTGGAAGGGGACGTGGGGATTGAGGTAGCGGGGAGGGCCGTTTGCATGTGGGATGGGGCGGTTAGGCCGGGTTCACATTCGGCCGGTGGGATGGTCCTGCTCTCCCCTGCTCGGGAGATAATTTTTGTCAAGGGGATCCACGTTCCTAATGTGGGAGATCCGATGACGGTTGAGCTTTTGGTCCTTCGAGAGGCGGTCTCTTGGTGCCTGGCGAATGGCTTCACTAATGTCGTATTCGAGGGAGATGCAAAGGTAGTCATTGATAAACTTCACCAAGGAGAGACCAGAGACAATCGGGTGGGTGCTGTGTTGGAAGAGGTCTTAATGTATTTTCGCTCTCATCCTGGGTTGGCGGTTCGATTTGTAGGTCGGCGTAGTAATAGGGTAGCCCATTTGGTGGCTAGGAAAGCCCTCTCTGTGTACCCGACCATGGATCGTAACTTTGATTTTCAGGCCTGGCTGATCTCCAGGGTGTAACTATCCTTTTCTTATTAATATAATATATCTTTTGTCAAAAAAAAAAAAAAAAAAGAGCCCATCTTAATTTGCCAAACCCCACGTGACAGTGCCAGTATCCCATCCCACCGGCACATGTTACTACTACCCTTTGCTTTCCATCTTTATAATTTCCCCGCGCCCACCACTACTGCACATCTCTTCTCCTTCTGCTCTCTTCCTCACTTTTTTTCTTTCCACGGAAAAGGAAAACACTCTCAAGTGTGTATACTATACATGAAGGAACCAACAAACGAGCGGATCGGTCCCCTTCACCTTAGCCGTTACAAATATTTTGGTCCCCGTTTCAATTCATTGTGTGCTCGTACTCTTAGTCTGAAGGGCAAGTATGGAAAAGAAGATAATGCAATAATGTGAGGAGATTTTGGGCCGAGAGAGAGAGCCCATCCCCCACAAATCCGAGGAAAGGGAACGGATGACGTCCTCTCTTCCCTTCAAGTAAAATACAAATACTGACAGTGGGCTGAGGAAAATTTAAAACTGGGAGTTAATTCTCTTCTGAAACTACGGGAGAAGAGAAGTCATGATCGAGAGAAAGGACTAAGGACCACTGACGCAACGACAAGTAAGCAAAGGATATCCTACATCTTTAGTTTTTCGGCCTTAAGGAATCCACCCACCCACTCAGCCAAGCCACCACGACGTCACTATACTACACTACCAGTCAAAGTGCAAAATCTAGCATATTCAAACCCTCCTCCCGTTCCCTTAAAATGGCAAGGCAAATTGGAGAAAAGCCCATTTCTTTGGTTTTTGTCGAAACCAGAGAAGCCCAATTTACTTTTAGTGGTAAAAATACAGTAATAAAGGAAAAAGAAAATAAAACAGAAATGTATCTTGGCGTACCTTTGAAATCGACGTTCCGTTTCATCACGGGGGAAGGCGAAGATTCCTCCTTGTAGAACGACGAGTCCAGAACCGAAACCGGACTCGGCTGCAACTCGGCGTTCATCTCTGCAATGCTGTTGAGCAGCTTGTCGCATCTCTCCAGTATATCTCTGCCTTCTCTGTGTTCCTCTGCCGCCTTCGGCCTCTGCCATTTTCCCAAATCGTAATGTGACGCCGCCTCAGCAAAACAAATAACAATGAACAAATGAAATTAACAATCAAGAACTACTTTATTGGTACCTCGCCGGCGTCGGAATGGGAAGTGGAGCTGATCAAGCTGCTCTCTGAAACGGTGGATGATTCATCTTCCGCCGCCAGCCTTCTCCTGTTCCTCGGCGATTGATTGGTCGTCTGCTCCGGTCCGGTTCTTCTCGACGCCATCTTCGGAGACTGAACGGGAGATACGCGTCTCTGCTGAACCGAATCGTTCCCGATTCTCCTCTGCGTTTCAACGCTCAACGGTCTCCTCCTCAACGGACTCTTGGCGCCGCTCTCGCTTCGCGTCGGCGAACTGGAATTCCTACCTCTGGCGTTGCTCCGCGCGTTCCTTTCGATCTCCGGCCGATCCCGCCTGGGGCTGACCGCCGGCGAAGGCTCGCTGGAGAAACTGGAATCTCGCCGGAGGCCGTATCTCGCTCTGAAACTCGCTGGCGGAGAATCGCTGCCGATTGTTCCCCGGTTTCTAGGTGAGGTCGATCTGGTTGGCTTCATCACAACGATTGGCGAATCTTCGAAGCCTCCGTCGTACACGAAGTTCCGGCCGCCGATTTGGTTCGCCAGGGGCGGCGGCTTCTTCGAATGCAGCAGGCCTTTCAGCTGCAGAGCCTCCAGGATTTGCTTGAGAGTTTCGAGATCTTTCGAAGGCTCATCGATCCCTCTCATTCGGAGCCTCTTCTCGATCTCGCCGTATATGCAAACGGTCTGCTTCGGCTCCGGAAAGAAATCGGCAGAGTCGAAAAAGCTCTTCCTCTGCGCAATTCCTCTGTTTGGCTGTCTCGCTACTGTTTCGGCTCTGCCGTGCCGTACAGCATTGTACTCTTTCGGAACCTTCGCCGCAGAATCTCTGGCCGCACTGTTCTGCTGCAGATTTTGATGGTGCTGCGACTGCGCTGACTGCTTCAGCTGGAAATTAACGCCGTCAATGAATCGGTACTGGAGGAGATCTCTGTTCGCTCTCGACTCCGATGCGGATCTCCTTAATTCGGGTTGCTTCTCCGCCGGCTCTAGATCAGATTCAGGCAGACGTTCCAGCCCCATCAATTTGGCAATCACGCTCGGTGATCGGTTCTGTTGCTTCTCGCTGTCGTCCGCCTCTTCGCCGCCGTCCTTGTCTCGATTTTTCGCCGATTGCATTGCTGCGGTTGTTCGGAGCTCTCTGGGCTTGAGTCGTCCTTTGGCATCGACTGTCGCTCTGCTGTCTAGTGAAAGCCTCGGAGCCTCTTTGTTAAATTTCCACGACGACTTTGTTCTATCGAACACAGGGAGAGGAAGTGGCGATTTGGAAGGAGGAGCATCGCCGGGAGGCGAAGCTTCCGGAGCCGGGGACCGTGGGGGCTCCGGCACAACCGCCGGGGATTGCTTGAACTTGTCCGGGGAAGGCATTGATCTAGATTCAAACTGCCGTTGCTGCTTCTCCGATTCCGGGGACAATTTTTTCGCAGGAGAATCCATCGTCGTCTTCTCCAGTTCCGGAGCCGAATCAGCAACCTGGAAGCAAATTCACCAAACATTGTAAACAAATTAGAAAACGGGAAAAAAAAGAAAAAAACGAGAGAGGATGGAATGGAGCGGATTATGATGAAAAAGCTCAAAAGTCCAACAAAACGGCCACAATGAGAAGAAAAGGAAAAGGCAAGGAAGTCGTACCGCCGATGCAGGAAGGCGTTTGTTGGAGTAGAGGCGTTTGCCGGCGAGAATCTGATGGCGATCAAAGATCTGAAGGAAGCCAGCCATGCAACCCATTTGCTTCTCTATCTGCTTCTCGAGGCGAGCCTCCTGCTGCACAACCCCCGTCATTTTTGTTTGTTTTTGGGATTTGATTTGCTCTATCGTCTACTGCAAGTACAAATCTAGAGTTGCCCTCAACCCCGTTCAACGCTCTCTCTATCACCAAACAGGGGAAAAAAGGAAAAGCTCTTTCTCAGGAACCAATCACTCCCTAAACCCCATTTGTACTCATCCTTCCCTCTCTTTCCCTGCTTCCTTTCCTTTCTTTCTCTCTCTCTCACTCGGTCTGAGACTGCGCCTTGCATTCATTAACGTCTCCCGCTTTTGTGGTGTTTTTAAGGGAGGTTGGGGGAGGAAAAGCGCAAAGATTGGTGGACAAAATGACTATCTTCGCCCTCACGAATTACGTGGAATTCCACAATTGCCCCCGTCGGAGGCGGGGTCTAAAAAAACTTGTAATTGGGTTCTGAAAGCAAAGGCAAATTGGTGGCGCCAAATCCACGCAGATGACAGGCAACACTGCCTGTCCCCTGCTGCAGCTCGTGGTACTGTTAGTGGCGGACGGATGGGTAATCCACCAAATATTTTAATTTAGGGTTGTTAAATGCTTTAAGAACCCACTTAAAATCTGTTAGCTAGCTTTAAGTGCTACCGAAGAGATTGTCACAACTCACATGTAGTTTTACCGAATTAAAATTTGTGGCACTATCACGTTTGAGGAGAGGGGGGGTTCCAAATGCCAAATGGGATAAGGATACTCGTTGACCTAATTCTGGTGTAGTGTATTGATACTAGCATGTTATGTAAGATTGTGTGGGAATTGAATTTCTTACGTAGGATGATTGTTGAAGAAGCAAATGTTGGGTTGACAGGATGAGTACACGATATTGATATCATGCGAGATGTCGCAGATTTTTTGTTGTGGTGAACAAATTTGCGATTGTCGAAATGTCAATACAAGTTAGTGATAAACTGTTTGCACGTCAAAATATATGTTATCTACCGTATTACTTGCTTATGAGAAGATCAGTAGCTTTAGATGGTTAAACTGGCCACAATAGACAAATAACTTGAGTTGAGTTTCGTGGAATTGGGGGTTTGAACTAGGGATGACAATAAAACCCGAACTCACGGGTACCCACCCGACCCAACCCGGTCAACGCAGGTAAAATTCGTGTTGACGAGTTTTGGGCCGGGTTTGGGTTTAAACTCGTTCACTATTCACCGGGTTGGGTTGGGTTTGGGTTTAGGTAAACCCGACCCATGGGTACCCGCCCACCCATATAATTAATTTTCTCGACATATTTAATATTCTAAACAACTAATCTTATTTATGTTTGTGGAGACATGTATAATTTTTTCTTTCTAGTTATGTAGAATGAAGTTGATGTTATTGAGTGGAGAGTGAAAAACTTAATTGAAAGGAAGAAGTTTCGATTAATCATGTTATTTATGGATAATTTGTGATTTGCTTCAATTTTCTTGAGTTTTCTAGATTGGTGTTGAACAATTTGTGTAGTTAATTTGTGATTTGCTTTAATTTTCTAGAATGGTGTTTTATATATGGATAATTTGTATGGAGAGATTGATATTTGACTTTAATTTTGATAGGAATTTGTTATTGTGAATTTTTTACGACAAAAACCTGTGGGTACCCATGAACCCGCGGATACCCAGCGGGTTGGGTTGGGTTTGAGTTTTTCAAACCCAGTGGGTTTTACCCCGGGGTTTTTTCACGGATAAACCCATGGGTTTGGGTTTGGGTTTGGCAAAACCCGACCCATTGCCATCCCTAGTTTGAACCCAACATATATCCCTATCCCTTCCTCTAAGGCCACTTCAATTCGTGCAATCTCCTTTTGCAATATAGATATGACTAGCTAATGCATGATTTTGCTTCATGACATCACCTAATCAATGAAGAACAAGGAAGTTAGGATAGAATATCGTTAGCTGAGGGCTTCTACGAACCATTACTCTAGTCTATAGCATCGATGATCTAAGAATCAAGCATCATCATTAGTCATGCATAGAAGGGTAACTAATCCTCCAATACGCGTCTAAGAAGGATGCCTACTACACTAGATTAGTTTCCTTGTTTCCCATAATAGTAGCATATACAATGACGATAATAGCATCAAGGTAAAGTCGCACACATAGATATGTTAAAACATCATATAAACAAAGCATCGATGACCTACACAAAAAATGATTAAAAAATCTAGAATACAATAAAGTAGGGGTGATAAACGGTTAGCCGGTAATCGGTTTACCATTTTACCAAACCGGTAACCGGCGATAATCGGTAAACCGATTATCGACGGTATCGGTAGTCCATTGAGAAAGGGGGCGTTCGGTATACCGGCCCCAATTACGATAAATACCGACGGTAAGTCGGTAATACCGATACCAGGGGACCAGTACACCACGTTTTGCCCAGTGGCCAGCAACCCCAAATCCTAAAAACGAAATTAGGGATTTCGTTTTGTCTACGACTCTCTCCTTCTCCGCTTCTCGTGTCTGACTCTCGACCGACGAGGCGACGACCAGGCAGCCCCCAAACTCCGAAACCCAGGCCAGAACAGAGATCGTCAAAGACGGCGACGACGACTGGTGAGTTGGAGTCCTATTTGAGAGATGTTGGTGATGCTATTAATGAGGAAATTGATTATCAAATTTTGACATTCTTAAGTGGCGGGCTAGGAACAATGTTAGATATCCCATTCTTTCAGAGATGGTTAGGGATATATTATCAGTTCTAGTCTTCTCTATTGCCTCGGAGTGCACTTTCAGTTGTGGAGGTCGAGTTCTTAGTCCTTTCGGATCTTCTTTGAGCCCAAACATTGTAGAGGCCTTGATTTGTGCTGAATATTGGATAAGATATGAAAATGGAAAGACTGCAGATGAACTGAATGATAAGGAAGAAGATCAAGAGAAAATTGATTATGAAAGTGGTTCAATTTATTATTCTAATTTGTCTATACTCTTTACTATTTAAATTTTAAACCATTCCATTAGTAACATACTAGTTTTTGTATTTTTTATTTGCTCTAGTTACTAATACTTTCCAATCTCGTGTGGAAACTGCAAGTGACATCCCAAGTGGAGCATATAGCTTACCTGTTAGGGTTGATGATGATGATGATGATGATGAGGAGGAGGAGGAGGAGGAGGAGGATGGTGATAATGAAGATTCCACCGACGAAGACATGAACCTAGGTGGCGATGATGATCCTGATGATACTCTTCTCAAGACTTTGAAGCGGCAAGGTTGTGCAAATGTTAGTGTTCCAAGTTCTACATGAGATGGAGGAGAATGAGCTATTGGTTATTTGGTTGTCTATTTTAATTTTTAAGTCTGGACTTTGAACTTGTGTTGAATTTAGACATTATCATTAGGCACTTTAGTCGATTGACGAATGACGATTATGTAATTATTTTGCTTGTTGACTTGTTGTCCCTTTGAATTTGATGATGTTTATCGTTTAATGAATTTGAATATTTGATGAATGATGATGCTTGATGAGTTGATATTGATTCATGATTGTAGTCCCTTTGAACTTATATTAAATTAAATAGATAGCAAATTTGAGTTTGACAAATATTAAGGCATTAACATATAACATATATTCCATTATTCACAAATATTAACATACATGAATGGAAGTAAGTATAGGCCTAAAAAATATTATAAATAAGAGTTAATAATTAAATTATTAATTACAAATTGAAGAAAAAACTCAGAAAAATCAAAATTTTATAGCTTGCCCACTGTCCAGAATTTCAGTTCGGTAATTTCCCGGTAAACCGAACCGAAAACATGGTGTGACCCCTCCTCGCGGTAAATCGGTAAAAGCGGTTTGTATCCGTTTATCGGCCATCCGGCAACTAGTAAACCGGTTACAAACCGGTATTGATATTCGATCTCTCCCCCTCCATGCTCGGCATACCGTTTACCGGGTCGGTCGGTAATCAGTTTATCGATTACTGACCGACTGCCACCCCTACAATAAAGTATCTAAAGGAAAAAGCATCGATGATCATAACATAAGACGAGATAAACATCTTATTAACTCATAGAAAGTAATATATGATCATCATATAATTCACATCCCTAAATATATCAACTAGCAACGTAAAGGAGAGTGGAACAAAATCACCATTGATACAAGCATCGATGATGATGAATTCTTCCTAGTCAAGCTCTAGCAGGGCTTATCCTCTTTTATGGATTGCTACTTTTGCCCAATGGGGCAGAGTGGTGGTAAAAGGTGTTGTACAATTTGTGTATGCCTATGCCCTTATTTATATCTGTTATAGAAAGGGTTTTTTAGTCATTTCAATCCTAAAAATCAGCCAACTTGTCCCTATTTGACTTACTCAATTTCCTTTGACTTGTGGACGAATTTACTTACAAAGGAAGCTTCCTAGACGAATTAGGGCTAGCAACGATGGTCATTTTTGCTTGGGCTGTAGCTCTCCTTTTACTTGGGTTGGGTAGCTCCGGGCCCAATTAACTCCTCCTACAATTTGTAGAGCGACGATTACTAAAAATATATCTCGTGGGCATTGGTCCATGTCTAGTCTGCTGCATTAACATATATGTTTTTTTGCTCCTAAAGTGGACATCCGATGTTCAAATCCATCTACGTTTGGGTCCATGAGTTTGTCCAATATGCTCGGAGGCTGATGTTGGTCGACTAACGATCATATCCAATACTTGTCGGCTGCTCTATTTCGACAGTAGAGGAATGACAAGCTGTTAATATCCTTTAACCCTGTTAGAATTAGTCTGCAATGTGCAATAATACATAAGTTGTGGATCTTTCCTGTCCAGCGAGTGGCTTGTTGATGAGATTTGATGGAGCAGACATGAGGAACATAGGAGGCAACATTGGTTTTGTGGGCTTTGCTGGAGATTTCTCTTTGGTATATGCGTTTGGTACGTTGTATCCAGGTTTGCTTGACCCTTTCTTTGCTTGAACTTTTAGCATTTAGGGATGATATGGTTTGATGTTAACTCATGGTTTTAATGCTCTTCAATTAGCTTTTGTGGGGATTCCCAATTGGTGATTCGTCGAGTCTTGGACAACAAGGTGCAACATGACATAGGCGGAGCGATTCTAGAAGAATTTTGATTGATGAAGACTTCCTTTTCATTTATTCATTTTGTTTATGCTCACCGTAGTACTATTTCATGAAAAAAACGGCCATTACACCGATAGATTAGCGCTAGGTTAATTGTTTTTTTTTTTTTTACTTTCGAACTATTTGTAATCTCCTATCGATTTACAATCTATTGAAAGAAAAAGTAAAAACCAAGAGGAAATTATTTGCATCACCTGG